TCAACATCTGGGTAATAAATATTACTACCAGAACATCTGGGTAACAAATATTACTACCAGAACATCTTGATAGTAAATATTATATCCTCAACATCTTGATAGTAAATATTACTACCTCAACATCTGGGTAATAAATATTACTACCAGAACATCTTGATAGTAAATCCTGTGTGGGTAGTTACAACTCTTCTGGTTGTTTTTTCCGTATTCATCTTATTTTTACAAACCAGTATTATAAATACACATAATTAAAAGTCTCTAGTTTCACTTTTATCCGACTTAATCGTTTATAGAAGTAGAATACTCAAAAGTGTCTAGACTAAAGGGTAATTCCCGCGAATTTTATTTGTTACGTAGATCAAATAGAACTTGAGAAAAATTATCAAACTGAAGGAAGCTAATTCTGAAAAATAAGAACTGAGTTGACTGTAGCGTGATAATTGCTGGTAAGTAAAGTGAAACTCTTTCGACATTAGCTTTTTAAAATCGCAACTACTGCTGTTAAAAGAAAAATATTAGGAAAAATTAATCTTGGCAAAATAAAAAAAAGAAGAAGCAAATACGAAGCTGCGACAGCGAAAGATTGTAAATAAAAATAAAATTCAAGAAAGTTTTTCTAGTTACGTCGTGTGGTGGGTTCGAGTGTTTGTTCCATCATGTCATTGTTTTTGAGAACCACGCAGGTCCATATAGTTCTAATTTAAGGGCTAGTCTTTTCTCATTAGTACACAGTCCCGAAGGCATGCAAATAACGTAACATGGAAAGCGTGGATTGCTATAACATGGAGAGGTTTCAACTTTTTGTACACTAATTAATCTTTATTGCTTGAACATCTGGATTTATCAGTTTCCTAATTAAAAACGTTTGAAACTTCAGACCCGACATTCCTTTCTGAAATCCAGTTAATTTTCATTATCGAATGAAAAACTATAACAATGTATAGTAGGCTGTTGATGAGACAAGCTATAACAATGTATAGTAGGCTCTTGTCTCATCAACCTACTACTATACATTGTTCTACAACAATGTATAGTAAGCTGTTGATGAGAAACTACAACAATGTATAGTAAGCTGTTGATGAGAAACTACAACAATGTATAGTAGGCTGTTGATGAGACAAGCTACAACAATGTATAGTAAGCTGTTGATGAGAAACTACAACAATGTATAGTAGGCTGTTGATGAGACAAGCTACAACAATGTATAGTAAGCTGTTGATGAGAAACTACAACAATGTATAGTAAGCTGTTGATGAGAAACTACAACAATGTATAGTAGGCTGTTGATGAGAAACTACAACAATGTATAGTAGGCTGTTGATGAGACAAGCTACAACAATGTATAGTAGGCTGTTGATGAGACAAGCTACAACAATGTATAGTAGGCTGTTGATGAGACAAGCTACAACAATGTATAGGAGGCGGTTGATGAGACAAGCTATAAC